ATCAGATTTTCTTCTGGTTCTTTTCATGGGGAAGAAACTGCACTTGGATTGGACTTCAAAGTCCATTTCCAGTTCTGGCAGTGATAGGGTCCCTCTTTTGTACAAGGAGGTTTGGTTTTCTTCTTCTTTCTTCTTTCATCTTATTTGTTTTTGTGTTTTATTTTCTGGGATTCTTTTACTCATCATTCTTCTTCGCTTCTTACATTTTTTTCAGTTGCTGTTGCAAAAGGATGTTTGTTTTTCTTTTTGGTTTCTGGGAACCTGTTAAGACATCTGAATTTTGTGTATTAACATGTTGGCTGCAAAAGTTGTTCTTCAAATTTTGTCTTTGTTATTTTATTTATTTTGTGATCTTTCTGTTTTCTGTATGAAGTTCTTGAGTCCGACTCTGATTAGTGTCTTTGTTCTCATAATACTAATAATTGTTCCAATGTTCTGGTGAGTGATTGATTAATGACATCAAATTCTGTAGTTAGTTTAGGCGCTTAATTAAGTGATTATTTGGTTTTCTTTCAGTCTCAGGTTGACAAAATCCTCTTAGATTTTGTTTATCGCATGTATATTGAAAACAAAACACCCCTTGATTTAGTTACAAAACGAAAATATTAAGAAAAAAGGCTCAGCAGAAAAATGAATGGCAATTGAGAGATTTCCACGCAAGCAAGAAGCTAGAAAGTCTCTAACCCAAAATTAATTTGAAAAACACTGGAAGAAGACTATTTAAAAGACCTTTTTGTTAAGTAATTTAATAGAAGCAATTCACTTTATTTAGTAGAAAAGAAACAACAGATTCAATGGAAACAGTTCACTTTACATTGTGCAGAAAAGTAAGCAGGCCAATGACCACCAGTCACCTAATGGTCCTGTGTCAGACCTTGAGCAAGGCGATGCAGCAGAGGTGATGGCTGTTTATTCTATTTGTCTTACATTTTTATTACCAATTAACCTTTTTATTTTTGTTGTTAAGGACTCTTGATTTTTATTTGAAATTTTCAGGTGGCCAATGTCGGATTTTGCAGAGTATTTTCACTGGTTAGTAATGAATTTGTTTCCCACCATCTCTCAGCTTGGAACTGTAACATTAATGTGCATTGAAAAACATATATATATTATTTTTTATTTTCAGGCAAGGCCAGATGCTGGGAAGATAATTGTTGGCACCATTGCATTATTGATAGCATCCACA